GATAAAATCGGTGTCACAGTACACCTCCCCACGCTCAATAGCCTTTTGTCTACAAAGGCAACCTATCTCCTGTCTCCAATGTGACTGCCGTAGAAAATTTTCCATAGTAGAGAGGTTGCAAGTTGCCCAGTTCTTGTTGTTGTGGCCGTCATGGTGGTTTTTGTGTTACTGGGATATTTTTTGCTCGTCCGCTTGACATTTTTTATTTCCTACAGGCAAAGCAGCAGCAGCCCTTTCGACAAACGCAGAAGGCAGCCAAACCAGTGCAAACAAAGGCTCCACGTGTTGGAAGAAAACGCTAATATATTTTGTCAGTGTTCTAACAAGTGTCCAACATGTAATAAAGCCCTTGATGAATTGTGACTTGTGCATTTATTTTTGTGTTTGAAGTTCTGTTTGATTCAAATGGCGAAAATTCATGTATGCTAACCAGGAGATCTACTGCTGTTGTTGTCATCACCCCTTAAACAGCTACACTCGTGGATATAAGCTTTTTGGATGACTGAAACAGGGACATCAGCAATGTGTCCACAAAAACACTAACCGGTATTCACCTTATTCATCAATGCACTTTAGCAGATGAATGATGACGTAATTTCAATAACTCATTGTTAAATGTAACTTGCAATGACTTTGGTTTTGCATTTGTACAGCTTTTAACTAGGCAAAAAATCTTGTACCATTTTTACCATCAATCAAATGTAGAAACAATGCTAATAAGATTCTCCTCCGGCAAATTAATTCAGCATCGGCTAGTTTGCTTATTGAAAAAACTATGCCAATGAGATTGGCTGGGGTGTATCTGGTTTTATTTCGGTTGAAATTCTCTTTGACAGCTTAAACAAACAGAGTACCGACATTCAAAAAGAAGATCAAAACAAAGAAAACTATGCAATATTTGTAGCTTGCCTATAGGACAAAATTTCAAAGAATCGCGGATTTCCGTTATGTTGCCAAAAATAAGCATATTTAAAGTTGGTTGAAAATGGGGCTAAAAACAAACTAAGGGGTAGAGAAGAGTGCAAAAGTCTCTCACCAGAAGGGCATTAATGGGACTGAAGTTTAGAAAGGTAACTTAACAGAGGATTTGTTTACACTGATTTTGCTAATCAGAGGGTGGCCGGCTTATTGGGGATTGCTGATAGTGGTTTCACTGTGGGTTGGTTAATGTTCTAGGTGGCATTGAACTCCTCTGTATAAGTTTAGACCCCATATCCATCTTGTATCTGTCATCAAAATAGCACACAAATCTTTTTCTGTGCAAGGGTTTTTATTACAAATTGCAAAGCGTAACATTTAAGATCCTACTACAACAGTTACATTTGATTGCCCTGGATGGATGATTGACTAGTCAATCTTGTCATGTGTTTGCATCAAATCATTCCACAGGTGCAACAATTAAGCTAAAACTAACTATTGACTATTTTCGAATCCTCCATAATACACTGTCCGCCAAATTTTTTCGTAAGTTAAGGCGATGTCACATGCCACGATTTGCAACGACGATTTTCAGTTGCCAGATAGTTGCGCCATTGTTTCGAATTTATACAACGTTGTTCCAACATTGCTGTTTTGAAAATCGTTTCGTGCACTATGAACTTTATTGTTTTCAAATGTTGTTGGAAATAGGCAGTTGAAAACAACAGTTAATGGAATAAATTTGGGGTTAAGTAGAGTATCATTTTACGGTTTGTTCTTTCTTTTAAATTTTATAAGCAACCAAAACTTCTAGTCGAGGGGAAATGACACCTTGACATGCCTAAAGTCCTTGTTAGTGTGTAATAGCGCCAAACTCGAAAAACAAGATTTTTTGAAGGCGTTTGTTGCTTATACTGACCCAGAAGTCGCCGCAAAGTTATCCTTTATACTTAGTTTAATACTAGATGCTAAAAAATGGTCGCGCTGCTTTTACAATCCTCAAGGAATAGTTTCTTTCAAAAACTAACCGAAAGTTTTTACTTGACAACAGCAAAAATTAACCCTTTGACAAACTCACTGCTGTATTTACTATCAAGACTGACGTGTTAAGATGCTTCTCTCTTTATGCTCAGCTCTTATCCCTTGCACTAGTGAGGGTTTTTATTATTTTTTCCCCGAACGGTAGTAGCGTTTTTTAATTATTTTGCAGTGCTCAAACTTCCACTGCCGGTCGCCAGAACTGTGAAAGAAAAAAAGAACAGTGCAGCCTATGTTAATAGCCGACCAAAAATGGACTAGAAGTTACCAATTTTAAGTATTATTATTCATCGACTCACTGTCTTCTCATTGGCTAAGAGCCTACATTTAATAGGGGCCCGCAGTAATAAAGTGAGGGAAAAAACAGTTTATATTAACATTTTGTTCCCTTGCGTACTGGCTCGTAACAAGATCATCCTCATTTCTTGTAGCGCTGTTCATTTCTTTACAGTGTGGCTTCACTTTAATAGGCTGTGAAGGAAAGACTTCGGTGAACGGGCATTTTACGAAGGTTTGGCTGGGAACTTCCCTTTCCCTTTTTCTCGCCTCCTTTTTGAATCACTTGCATTTGCAGTTATTTTTCCGCCAAAAAGGTGCAAAACGGGAACTTTCTGAACTTTGGGAATAGTCAGTTCATCGTTTTGTCTAGCCTTGTATTCAGGTCTATTCAGTGTGGAGGGTTGAGTAATAATACAAATTTTAACTTAGTCTTGCATTACTCTTGTCACTAACCTTGATGAATATACGCTTGTTACACCGGTCATCCAATATTTTCTTGAGGTTTTATAGTTGAAGGATTCGCCAAGCTTGGTCCACCGAGTGCTTTTGCATCTGTGATGCTTGTAGCGAGGGGCTTTGCAGCACTTGATGTAAACCCTATATAAATCAGTCAAACGAATGATTGTCAACGGGTGCTTAATTTCCTGATGAAAAACTACACTCTTTTTTTCTCATAAGAATATTGTTTTTCCTGTCCAGGCTGAATATTCTTATTTTTCTGCTGTTTTTAGGCTGAGAATATTCTAGCAGTATACTTAAATTATAACTTATGACTTTTTTCCGTGAAAAAATATATCGGGGTATTAATTGCAGTAAAAGCAGGGTTTTTTTTCGTTTTGGTGACTGGTTTTGCCGTTTAGAGAAAGGAATAATATTGTCGTATTGTATTAACAGATTTTCAACACACAAAATTGTATCGTTTTCAAAATTACAGCCTTGAGTTTATTCTTATCATATTCTTAAAATTTCGCAAATATTAGCCTTGATATTCTTATATACGAAAAAAAGAGTGTAATCTGCACATAACTGCGATTGCTGGTTCAGTTATGCAAACTCAAACAGCACTATCTGTAGGCAGTTTTGTCCTATTTTTTTAAAATTTAGGTGCTGGTCTTATAAGTCTTAATAGTAGGTCAGAGAATAGATTGTGAAAGCAAAATATAGTACTCTTCTCCCTGCTTGATTTTGTGAGATTTTTTGCTGATTACAGAGAAAAAAACGGCCCAGTTTGACCCTTCTCACCTTCAACTATAGACTACTAGATTATCGGTTAAGAATAAACATTCTTGGGGCTGTTTTCATTTCAAATCATTCTTTTCTAGTACGCAAGAGTCAGATTTTCTCAAACAGCCGAAAAAACTACATCCCACGAAGCATTATTCCTATTGAAAGGAAGTATTTTTTTGTTTCGTTTTGTTTTTTTTTGTTTTTTTGTTTTTTCCGTGTTATTTTAATAAGAAAAGTTTCTTACCTGCGGTCCTTGGAAGCTTTAACAAAATAACTGTACACTCCGGTGATAAAGCCGTCGTGTGGGCACCTGTAGTGTAGGGGTTGTGTCGCGTCATGCAAGAAGTGTGGAGTCCAGCTACAGTCTCTGTAATATGGTGCAGGGCCATAACGACATCTAAAATGGTGAACGCGGTCTTGTTGGCACTTTCGATAAATACTGATCCACTGTGTCATCGAATAGCCTGCAGTGGAAAAAAAAAATAAATTAAGGTTAACAATCGCGACTATTTTAAAGGTTCTATTTAGCAACCTACGCACACGTCTCAATACTAGAAATCGCCATAACTGGTAGCCTGCGAAAACATCCGTTTCTCCTCGCTCTTCGCCGCCGGGGACGTTTCGGCTAGATAACTGGCGACGAATAAATAATACAAATTCGTCAGTTCCGCCGCAGCTGAAGGGCCATTCGAAAGTTCGCTTGCCGTTAATCCCTTTCTGGTCATTTTTGCATTCCGGAGGCTAACGACTAAAACCAAGAGAGGATAAATTGTTAAAACTTACGCTTAGGGCATTGAGCGGTGAAGGACTGGTGCCACTTGTTTGCCCATTTAAAAGCAGCAGGCGGCAATGAAGAGTCGCAAGGCGGCACATATCGGCGGCGGCGACGGCGACGGCGTCGCCAAGACTCGGTATGAGAGAACAGCATCAATTCCAACACCACGATCAGAAGAAAAAGCTTTATAGCGCGTCTCATTCCTGTCATGATTATCTAGAAACAAAATATATAATAATAATAGTAAATAAATAAACCAGTGGTTACTTACTCTCTGGGTTACCTAATACGTTTTTGAAGTTCTAAGGGGCTAACAAATCGATCGCGATTTAAAAGAAACATCACCAGCTAAAGAAAGGAACGTTTTCCTCGATCTTTCGTCAATCACTAATATTATTTTTTAGACTATTATTCATACTAAAACTTAACTTTCGGGTTTTTTGGGGGGGAAATTTGAACCAACACGATTCAGTTAAACCGAAACGCTCACGGGTTCCTTAAGACTGATACAAAATAGACGACAAGTTTCAACTAGCTGCAATAATCGCACATTTTTGTTTAAATTGGTGCATACCTGGACTGAAAATACCTGACTGAGTTTGTGAAGTGAGGGACGAATTCCTCAGAAACTGAACGCTATCAGATTTCGACCTTATTTAGTGTCAGTCGTGTGAAGACTATCGCCAATAGGCTGTTCCGTTAAATTTTCACCGATCGAATGAATAACAACAGAAAAGTGGTGAGTTAAATAACATTATTCAGTCTAAGATCTATGTACGTGTCATTTTCAGATCGCTAGCAACATGTCAGAAACAAGTTTATTTCTATCTTAAATGTTAATAAGCTCTTTTCATATTACAATTAATGTTTTTATCGTGTGTTATTGTGTTATTGTTTGCTATGCATCAGTGAATTCAGTACGTGCCGACTCGGCTAAGAAATCACTATGTTGAGAATCGCATCCTGGGGTCAATTTAATAAAACTTTTACACGCGTAATTTACAGGTGTAGCAATCGTTTTAGGGTCTCAAAACGGCAATAGCTACACTTGCAAATTACAATACACTTCTAGAAGTTTTATTGAATTGACTCCTGAAGTACCGTTGACCTCGTTGAAAAGTATATAAAATAGGTATCTAGGTTGGCTTGCGTCGTGTATTACCCTATAATCGTCTATCACAACTCAGAAAAAACAAAAACTGACTGTTGAGTTAACATTCGTACGGTAGTTCTACATCCATATAAATAAATAAGCCGCAACCATCAGCAAAAGGTTTTCAGTAAACACACAGTTTGAACTCCTAAAATTTGTATAATTGATCATCAATCGTACAACTGTTTGTTAAATAATATCCATTTTATGCCAATGAATTATCAGTACTCCACGAACGCTTGTTTGGCATATCACGGGATCATAATGTAGATATCCGACTATGGACAATTATTTTCCGCTATATAGACTTTTCGATCATGGTTCGGATGCATTTATTTTACAAAGAGTTTGACAGGTGCATGTGTTAAATAAATGTTATGTACAAAAAATACATTCACATTTTTTATTTCTCGCCAAACACTGAAGAGTAACAGTCGCTGATGAATGATGGACGAGAGTTGTACTAGATAGATTTTCCTAGCTGCGGAACTCGGAATCGAAGAAAAACAAAGACAAGGGTCGTCGAAGAGCTGTCGTGTACCAGACTGAGACAAGTTTAATACCTTTTTTACGGGCACGCCAGCACTCACATATCGTCCGCTGACGTTCATCAGGGAAAAAAGACTTAATTTTATTAAAGCATCGCGTTTTGTCATTTCTGAAAAAAATTGTTCACTTGCCATCCTTTTCAAGTTTATCTCAATTTGAGTTAAGTTATTATTCGACACATTTGATAGCCGTAATAAACATTTTTGTTTTACGAAGATCGAAATTACGATTGGGTTTCATCAACTGAGTATTTAAATAATAAGGTAGATTAGCCACCGTCAAGAGCCATAATTCCACCGTATAAAGAAGCCTTAAAGAAAAGCAGACTTTTCGAGCGCTACTGAGCCCTTCGTCGTTCAGGGAACTACACCCCAGCCCAGTTTCTTTAGAATCTAAGCACTTCCTTCTTCCTTTTTCTTACAATCTTTTTGGTTCTTTGCGTATGCATTTATTTTACAAAGAGTTTGACAGGTGCATGTGTTAAATAAATGTTATGTACAAAAAATACATTCACATTTTTTATTTCTCGCCAAACACTGAAGAGCAACAGTCGCTGATGAATGATGGACGAGAGTTGTACTAGATGGATTTTCCTAGCTGCAGAACTCGGAATCGAAGAAAACACAAACGCAACACAAACGCGTCTTTATCAAAGTGTTAGACTCAAAAAGTGTAAATAACTGATCGCAAAAAATCACAGTGCTGCTCTCCGACAAGACTTTCTATCGCAGCTTCTCAGAAAGACGGGAAGTGATTCTTTCTTTGAAATTAAGACTTCCTTGTTCATTTTCATATTAGCCTCCAGCAACAAAAAACCACAGCCACGATCTACTCTGATCTCCCGTTAATATTGTAACAATTTATTCAGTTATGAACTCAAGAAGTGTGCACCAAAAACCTGCTAGCAGAATCTTTTTGGTCCAAAAACGTCAAAACGGTTATGGGCCATCCGGAGAAATGGTCGGACATTTACGCAAATGAATAAGCCATTGTGGCGTACTATTCAAGCATGAATTCATGCACTATGACTTTGTTAACGGCGTTTTTGAACTACAGTTAGAGAGACATCAGAAGTCAGAAATCATTGAGCATGGATAAAACCCATGCAAACAGAAAAAAAAGCCTATAATAATTAGAAGTTAAGGCTGGTTTCAAAAATTAGTGTCATGGACTTCAGCACACTGCAAAGTATATATATATATTCAAATTCTTTAGCTTCCACCAACGAGAGTCGCAAAGCGGAACGAAGACAAAAATTAGCTACGATCACAATCTCTGAACTTAGAGAGCCCCATAGGTACTATTCCATTGGTTGTGCTCACTACTTGGACAGTTCTCTCCTCGGCAAAAGTCGTCGAAGAGTTGCCTGCATTTACCATAGGGGCACAGATATATGTTGATGTGAATGTTAGACAAGACCTTTACGCCCCAAAAATGTGGACAATTCTCGAGGAATATTAGAACTTTTTCGTTCTTCCTCAATCAGTATAATGCAGACTGCGATGATTACGATTCAAATTGCAGAACTACAACGACAAGCTAATGAGTTCGAGTTCAATGACCAAATTATTTCACTTTTTCATTTATCCCTGATTTTTTTCGCGAAAGGTATCTGTTTAACTTAAAAGATGCATTCGAGAGCACGGCGTTATTTTTTGCTATGCGTTTTACACATCCTGAACAGAACAAGCTGCTGTGTAGTTAGTTAAATGTACTTGATTGGCAAATGAGTGATGAATGTCTACAGTAAACAATTATTCCCGTCTATTATATATAGAAAAAAAAAATAATAATAATAATAAGAGACATCAAAAACTCACTGTGAACTGTGAATGAGGTATCGACTGTTTGGTGAGCTGTTTAGTCAGTCAGCCTGCGCTCGAACACTTTTTTTTGTGTTTTGTGTTTTGTGTGTTAATGTTAAATAACTACACCTAATACAAAATTAGCCAAAAAACAACACAGGGTTGTTCCAATATGACCAAGAAAAAATTCTATCCACTGTATGTTTATATATAGATCTTTTGGTTTTCATTATCTTAGTGGAGACTTTTTCTTTCTGCCGAGAGAATTTGAGATGCATATCGGCTCAAAATCAATCTTTGCCGGCTCTATTATATCGCGCGGGAGGGAAGTTTAGAGTCTTATAATTAACACTTTTTGACAAAGATAACCTTATTAAGACCCGGGTTAAAATTCATAGACAGACGGGAAGTGATTTCTTTCTTTGAAATTAAGACTTTCTTCATTTGTCATGTTTATGGTTCCGACGTTCTACTTCCGGGGTTCTCCGATTTTACACAGATTAAATGACAAATCCGTTATTCATTGCGTTACATTTCTACTCCTTAATTTCTACATTTCTAGAGAGTAACTGCTCAATATTAAGCTTTTAGATCTAAAAAATGTAGAAAAATAAAGAAATGCCTAAGGCCTTGACGAACGCTGGTTTTCTTGTCAGAAATCAGACAATGTACGTATGTAAATTTTAGGCAGCACTCCGCGCTCTGAACAAAAATGCAAGTCACACAGCACAAACCGATTAACGTAAAAGAAACAAAAAGAAAATAAATACTCAAGCCAAGCAGAGCCAGTAAGAGCAAAAAAAGGAAAAAATACCTCAGATATCAAGTTTCGTTACGTTAAGGAGAATACATCTGCATATTCAAATGTATTTACGAAAGACCCTAACTTACGACAAGAATCCTCGAAGAGGTGCCGCCTTTCAGCGACTGGGAAAATTTGTTCGTTATACAAAGGGTTCGTTTTAACGAAAACAGCGATTTAACGAATTTTGGGGGAAAACCGTTCAGAGCTGTACATAGCTACGGCACTAGAAGCACAAGAATAGGCAAACGAAACTCCTTAAAGCCACCATGCTCATAAAATTGTATCCCAATCCCAGGTCGTACGGCTAGTCATTTAAGAAAAAAGCCCGGCCCTCAAAGGTTTAGTTTCCTGTCCCCTTTTTGGGTAAGACAACGTTAAAGCGAGGAGCCCACCATTTTAGGTGCTCGGTTAAAATGTTTTTTTTTTAGAAGGTAAAATGATAATTTATATCAATTGAAGTGATCAACAGTTCAGTAGACGCCTTTAGTTGCTAAACATCCATAAGGAATTTCTCTCCGCTTGTGATACCTTTGCACGGGAGTTTACGACTATTATTATTTGTTTTTGGATGTAAATCGTTTTCTTGGTGTTAAACAGCAAAAGGTATCGGCAAAAGATCTATCCGGTGGACGATCTGTATGGCCTGAACAACATTAAAAATTACTTTCCATCTTTCTTAAGTTTAACTTGATTTGTATCAAACTTAGTCATTCAGAATATCCAGGAACATCTCGGATCGCGACAATAGCCTTTGCGGACATCGTCTTTACTGCTGACCGCAAAGACTCCTAACCTGAGATCAGGCCCAATTTTTGCGGTTCTCATACATTCTCTCTAAAATCTCTTTTCGTTTCGCCTTCCCCGCCGGAATGTAATTTCGGAGCGAAACGAAAATAGAGCCTGATCTCAGGTTAAGACTCCCCGCGTAAAATACTCTTATATTTAGGAACTTTGATTACACTTAGGGGTGCAATAATATGTAAGAGATTCGCGAGAAGGCTTTCCTTTTGCTTCATCCGGTGTTTAAAACGTGAGATGAACCCTAAATGTATACTACTTTTCAAAAACACCAATAAATGTTTTATATGTAAAAATTCTTTTCATCTCCCAAACCATGAACACTGAACTAAGAAAACCTCATTTTAAAATTTTGTAAACCTCACGTTCCGTTTTTTTCATACTAGTGTGTCTATCTTAGCGAATAAACACAAAGGTCAAATTGCAAGTGAGGCCTTTTAAAACCTACTGGACTTTTGTTATATTTCATGCCTTCGCCCATCTGCGACATGATCAGGAAAATGCTTAAAGCAAATAATTCGCGAATGACGTGTTTACGAACCCACAATGCACACAACACACTCCAAATAGGAGTAAACGCTTTTCAGTTGAGCTTATGTCGGGAAAGAAAAATTTCCACCAAAAAGTTCTAATAAAAAAACACCGTTTTGCTCAACACAGTTACTTTCTTTCCACATGTTTTCATGCACGATGGTTTGTTTTTGTCAGTTTGTTTCTCTAACGCACGAGAAGCGAGAGCGGGTGCCACCTGAGGGCGGCAAGCAACGATGGCCCACGCTAGACTCACGTGTAAGTTCTTTTCGAGGCGCAAAGAGCCTGCTCCAGGATGGCCCAATTAGCAACATGCAAGGCTGGTATCTGTTTTCTCTAGGACAGAGTATAGTAACAAGTCGCTTTGTACTAGAAAATAGCAGATTGCGACATTGTGCAACGTCAAAAGGGAAGATGAATTTTGAAATTCATTTCAGGTCAACAGAGTCAGTTATTATGAATACAAATGTTGATTTCTTTCAGAGCAGTTTATTGAACTTCTATTACAATCTATAGCTTTAAGACATCTTGTTACAGCTATGTACATATGTATCAACAAAAACGAAATGAAACGTTTGAGAAAACATTTACTTATAGCAAATGCTCTAGGTTTTGTATCATCATCCGTTCGTTTTAATAAAATTATAATTACTGAGAATTTAACCCTTTGCTTTATACTGAAAGATTTCAAATTCACAAGCATAGAAAACCCAAGCCGCACAGATAATCGACAGCGCTTGTGGATATAAGGGAACAAAAACGGTGACAACTTTCGTCAAAATATGGGGAAAAAAGTATTCATATTAACTTGACGATTTCGTTGCAGTTTATTGTGGCTAAATTAAAAGAAGTTCCCATAAAGTTAAATACTTACATGACATCAAGGTTTTGGAATTTTCGTACACTTTTCTTTTTGGTAAATTTTATAGTGCTTTTTCACGGCCTGTCCCATTTCAAGTTATTTCACTCTTCTTCCTGAAACACACGGATTTGGAACGATGATTTCATTACGTAAAAATCAAAGCCCTAAATTTCAGCCTCAGGTAGATTTTATTTCAGTCTCAAAAGCTTGAAGTCAAACATGTTCAGGCATCCACTTTTCCACGCACTTATGCTAATATGTCACGACGAACCGTCTTTTAACTTTTTGATTGTAGTAAAGCTAGTCTTAAAATTGGGGAAGAGGATGAAGGGGTGTCAAAAATAACTAATTACCAAGGCCTAGTTGTTCGAAGGCCGAATAGCGCTAACCCATGGTAAAATTGTAATCCCGGCTTCTTTTTCATTTGTTCAAAAGCATTTTCTCGTATAACTTTTTTTACTCTTTTTAGAGCATCAAACATCAAACATGTTCAGGCATCCACTTTTCCACGCACTTATGCTAATATGTCACGACGAACCGTCTTTTAACTTTTTGATTGTAGTAAAGCTAGTCTTAAAATTGGGGAAGAGGATGAAGGGGTGTCAAAAATAACTAATTACCAAGGCCTAGTTGTTCGAAGGCCGAATAGCGCTAACCCAGGGTAAAATTGTAATCCCGGCTTCTTTTTCATTTGTTCAAAAGCATTTTCTCGTATAACTTTTTTTACTCTTTTTAGAGCATCAAACATCAAACATGTTCAGGCATCCACTTTTCCACGCACTTATGCTAATATGTCACGACGAACCGTCTTTTAACTTTTTGATTGTAGTAAAGCTAGTCTTAAAATTGGGGAAGAGGATGAAGGGGTGTCAAAAATAACTAATTACCAAGGCCTAGTTGTTCGAAGGCCGAATAGCGCTAACCCAGGGTAAAATTGTAATCCCGGCTTCTTTTTCATTTGTTCAAAAGCATTTTCTCGTATAACTTTTTTTACTCTTTTTAGAGCATCTAATGATCAAATTGTGCCGGGACAAAATGAATTAAACAATTGAATGTACTTTTTAAGGTTTTATATCTGAATTCAAATTTTGCACTAACCATGGGTTATCTTAACCTAGGCTCGGCGGAAATCGAGCCTAATCTTAACCCAGCTTTGAACAAACCGAGCCTGGTTTGATGGCCATAATCAGAGACAAAAAAATAATACGCTGGTTTAAGATTTTACAATGATAACAACAGCCAAAAGTTTTAGTCACTGAATTAACATTTTAATTTCTTACACATACTGAAGACATTTCCTTTCCTAGAAAAACTGAGGAGATAATACTGTAACAATTACTTCCTTGACTAAACATCCGTCGCCAATTTCTATCGATTCAAAATAATATTTATCTAACTTAATAAGCAACTATAGCTAACGATACAAAACTGTATCACTAAATAAACAAGCAATAATATTATGCTCCAAGGCGATTATTACAATTAAAGTTAAATTTAAGTCATGGTAAGTGACCTTAAATTTGGACGAATTAAAATCAACTTTCGAACAACTTGGCCCACTGTCTGTCAACCTGCGGGCAGAACCTACTTTTGCCTTCCTCTTGATCAAAATCGAGTGAGTGAAGGAAAGGCTTTGTTCCAAGGCCGAGTGGGTTTTGTAAACTGTAATACGTACAAACCTAAATTAAAGTTTGTATTTACCCCCACCCACCCACCATTATGATCAGGCCCTGTTTCGTCCAGTTTCTCATAAATAAAGGAACAATTTGTTCGTGACTAATGAACTACTGATTCTGTATATATATTTACTGTATATTCACCACGGTCTTTGTGAGAAGTGGTCCTCACTTTTCACATCCACTGTGGTAAATAACGACTTTTTTTACTCTGGTTTTTACTACACTATACCTACACTAAGGCAACTTAAACTCCCAGTATCAATCATAGGGCTTAACGGATTGTGTGGATATACACTGTAAAAGAGTTTCATGTTACCTCACTAAGCAAACTGGTAATATTTTGTATAACATATCTAAAAATCAGCTGGTACAGTGGTCCACTTTCTTTTGGTCAAGAATTTACCGTGAATTCGCTTACTTTTTAACTGATATTTTTGGTAGAGGTTTCTCGGACTACAAATCCTACGTTAAGTTTCGAATTTTATTTTTGAATAATGCTCTCAGCAAATTGAGATATATTGTCTTTGACTGACTGCTTTGTTAGAAATCACTTCTCAACCTTCACAGTGTCCATATAACTAAATTCAATCCCTCATCCTTGGCCTGAAGACGAAGAATACGAAATGTTCAACTCTATACTTTGCCTTCAGTGAGTCGAAACTCTTACTTTTTGAATGGTAGAAAGACATAAAGGACTTTCAATTACTGCCTCCAGATATTTCAGATATTTGTCTTTGAGTAAACTTTTCACGATAAATAACCTCTGGATAAAACCTTTTGAAGCAATCGTCGCAGTGTCCATGCCTGTCAAAAGCAGCAAAATTATCGCAGCCAGTTACTCTGCATCGCTCTGGTAATGAGTGATCTGATGGTAAGGACAAAAAAGACACTTCTGATGGGAAGTCTGCAAGAAAAAATATGTTGATATAAATAAATAAATAAATAAATACATGAGTGAATAAAAATGTGTTGAAAACTATGGCTAAAGTCAATCAATAAAAAATTGTATTTATATTTGTCATCTTCTAGCTGGCCATCAGCTAATTAGGATACAGAGAAAATAGAGAATCAACCCAGGTTAAAAAATTTAACCTGAATTTAATTTTGACTTCTCCTCATCAATTCTGTGAGAAATGAATGGAAAACAGTGTGAAGAATATAGCAATTAATAAATTAGTGCTCCAAGCTTAAATTTTTCCAAAGTCGCCTTTTGGCAATACATAAACCAGCATCTAAAATATCCGAAAGCCCATAAAAAGACTGGAGAAGCTTGATATGTACAGGTTGCCAAATTAGCGCCTTTGCTATATTTTATTAGTTGCCAGTCTTTTTATGTTTGTTTGTTTGTTTGCAGAATCTTCACAGCTTGGAAAGGTGTGTAGAGCTTTGCGTTCATGTTATATAGTAAAAGGGGGATAAATAATATTGATCTAAAACAGTTACATGTAACCTTCACTTGTTTTACTGTCCCATCTAGATTAGTATTTGCTACCTGCAGGTCAGTGTAATTTACTTACGTTAACTCTTACAACAAAGCCTTGTTGTTGTTGTTAACAAAGGATTTTGAGCTCACACCTGGGAATCAAACCTCAGAAACTCCCGCACAAAAGGCCATGCCCTATTAAACCAACTGTTCTACATGTTTCGCTTTGTAATTCTCACCTGGAATTGAAGCAGGACCTGACTGAGGTATTGTGCTCTCCAGGAAGCAGCGAGAACAGTACCCATTTGTCTCGGGAGTGCCAAATAGTTTGCAGTTGGTTCCACGGCATTTCCGACCATGGACATCATCTTCAGCATTTCCTGAATATGCATCATGGCGTCTAACTCTGGCCCCATAAGGTGGACTTTGAGTCTGGCACACCTGCACAGGGTCTTTAAGTGGACAGGAAGATGGTACAAAATTTCCAACCATCCGGGGAGTCGGCTCCATGGATCTTGAACTGTGCTGCTGACTACCTTTAAAAGCTGGGGCACTTGGTTGCACTCTTCTCACCTTAAGAAAGCACTCATCACAATAACCATTTTTCTCTGGGGTGCCAAATCGTAGACATCCTGTTGACGTGCATGGCATTGAGGTCACTGAGGCCCCCTTTTTAGCCGCCGCTGATGTCGCAGTTGGTTGAGGACTTCTAGCAGAGCTGGATAGGGTATTGATATTTCTTTGCTCCACCTTTAAATACATGCAAAACGATAGCAAACAAGTTAGACTGCCATAATATTGCACCGCTAATGCGACAGTGGCCAACTAAAAACTGTTCCTCTTTTTGACACTGTGTATGTACCTCTTCCTTAGAACATCTTTTTCGTTTCCATATCTTTTAAGTAAATGCTCATAAATTTTTTTGAAAAACAATTGCTATTACAAAAGCCCTGTCAATTTAAATTTGAAGTTAATTAACTTGTTGTTCAAAATTTATGAGAAACAGACCTTCTCGGTATCAAAATCAGCATAAAAAAATTTGTTAAAATACCAGTTGTGTGTATTACAACATTTTCTTAGAGAAAACTTTACAGCTCTATCAAATTTGTCCTTTTAACACAGCCACCATTTTAAAAATTCATTTCAAGCATGTGTTCTTACATCACTTGTCATTTTCCAGACAGGCAATCACATGCACAAATCAGATTTGACCAGATCTTGCCTTTGGCTCCAACGACAAGAGCTCTCTGGGTAAGAGATTACACAGGACAATACAACAGTTTCGAATTCATCATGGCCATTGGATAGAAGCAGTTAAGATTCATTTATACAGGGTTAGCCTCGACCTAAAGTAAAATATTCACAAAGACTGGTGAGAAGGTGCCTGAATTTGCAATTAAAACAAATAGACACAGTTGTACTCAAGTCTTCTTCTGACTGGAATTTGTGATATATTTTACCTTAAGTTTAGACTAACCCTGGATACCAGTAAATGATTCTTCAGTGCTCCTATTCAGCAGCCACAATGAATTTGAAACTGGACTATTATGTTAAATGGTGAGTTGCTTTATAGTCATACCTGACTGCTAGAAGTTATTGGTGGCGTAACACTTTGCTGCCTTTTTGGCTGTCGTATGGGTTCTCTGTTGAGTTCAAACTGAAGAGCAGTAAGGTAGCATTGCTCACACAGGCCAGTGTCTTCAACTGGTGGCTTCTGACATCCATTGATGCATTTATTACCTTGAGCTGATGTGGATGGGTTTACAGTTCCAGTAGCTGCAGTAGCCTGATGGGAGGTTCTTTTCTCCTGCGATGAAGTTGGTACAGGAAATGCAAAAGCACTAGAATTGGTAGGTGTCTGTTGGGCCTGGGGCATACTTGTGGCTGTTGAACCTCCTGTGGCTCCCACATCAACTGGCCTCCTTAGCAGCTGTAAACTTGAAGGGGGAACAACATGTGACAAACTAGCAAGCCAATGTTCACATCTTGAACATAAAAATTTTCCTTGTTCAACTATTTCATTAAGGCAGGTAGGGTTGGAGCAGTAATGCCCAGCAGCTCTTGGTGATGCTGATGGGAGGTTATGCACTGAAGCAACTGTTGCTGATGATGACAAAGTACTCACAGGAGGTTGAGTCCCTGAAACATTAGCTGCTGAAGTAGCAGATGTGGTTGGAACAACAACTGGATTGGTCTTCATCTGTGGAGAGGGACCTGACTTTCTCTGATAGCATTCTGGACACAAATCACCATACTGAAATACTCCTTCATTGACACAGCCAGGTGACGCACACAATACACCTTTCTTTCCTGCACCTGTAGGCAATGGCATCTTTTTCTGTGGTGGTGGTGGAGGTGGTGGAAGTTGCCGACTGATTTGTGCAGCTGTCCCGACCGATCTGCCTTCAGATGTGATGAACGAATGAATGCATTTAGAATAACATTCAACACACATGTCAAACAGCGCAGGGACACCCGGAAAAGGGCAGCCTTTGGTCTTGCACATGTTGGCCGGTGTTGCTGTAGGGCTAGGAGGTGGTAAACCAGTTGGTGAGCTCACTCCCAAAGTGCTCTCCATGCGAACACAGAAGGATCTGTAGCATCTGGAACACAAGTCATGATGTTGTGGTAATCCAAAGAACTCACACCCATTGTTGCGATTAGCACATGGCTTGGCTGATGCCAAAGTCACATGATTCATACTGGCCGCCAATTCTTCAGCACTCCTCTCAGCTTCAAAGCACCTTTCACAATAACCACCTCGGTTGGCGACCGCTGTATACTTGCAACCAGTGGTGCTGCATCTGGCAGAATTTGCAGGTGGGAGATTCATAGACAGTGAACTCGCTCTTGCAGTAGGAGGATTTGGCTGCTGCCCTGTGGGAATCTGTCCTGGTGGAACATGAGCTCTTGGCTCTGATGCTGTCCCTAAGCTCCTCAGATACTCATTAAGACACTTGGAGCAGCGGTTGCCAGTTTCAGTGGAACCAAAGAACTCACAACCCTCAGTTTGGCAGCGAACAATTTGTAGGGCTGGCTGTTGGGTACCGGGCTGAAACTGTGGACTTAGTTGTCTGTTGCTGGAGGCTCGACTGTATTCCTCTCTTGCCTTTGCAAAGTATCCTTCAATGAGATCTTTTATGCAAGCAGGCTGTTCCGCAAAATGTAATTTTGCAACAAGAATGTGAGACCTCGGCTCCTCTGGGTTGGCGGCAAATGGTACTCTGGCACAATCTAAGTACTGACGAAGACGATCACTAGCAAGTGGTACTTCATCATCATAAAGGAAGTGAACATTTAAGGGTGTTCCATCATATTTCACCAACGGTACTGCATGTAAAGGGCTAGTCACACTTGGAGACACCTGATTTTCAAGGTCAAGATCCAACTTTCCATCTTCAATACTCACAACTGCTGTAAAATGGCCATCAGCATAGCCAATAACCAATGGACTTTTTACACAGTCAACAGAGTCCCAAAGCAGGGGTAAATAGACACCTCCAAAGTTAATTGGTGCATATGAATCTCCAAAGTGCCCTCTAAGCGTCTCATCTGAGACTACTATTATAGTGCGACGGAGAATATTGGCTAAGACAAATATGTGAATTTCTTCAAGGCTTCCAAACTGTGCACCATTTGGACCATAAGGGAATTCAGTCTGTGAGATATGCCGTATAACTTCCTCCCATTCATGACTCCATTGTTCTTCTGAACGTTCATATCCACCAATATGATTTAATAAAATCTGACGTTGCTCCTCAGATTTCCAGCGGCCGTGATAAAACCCTACAATACGATCACAAATAGATTATGGTAAGTGACAACATGCAGGTAAGGGGTACAAGATCCACAGCACTTGCAATGAAAATCTTAGGCAGCTGGGTAAGAGGTAACATTTTTCATTTACAACAATAATTATTTTTACTACTGAAAACAGGAAAGCCAAACCTAAACCAAGCTATTTCTTCATGAAGGTCAGACACACTACATTCGATGGGGGTTATGAGTCTTATTTTAATTCAAGTATCAAATCTTTTTCCATTGCAAAGAGTTTAAAGGTAAGAAATGCTAATATAAAAGGTCTTTAGTTTAGCTCTGCAACTTCCAAAATTTGTAAAACACCATCTTAGTCATGACACATAACATTGAATCAAAGTTCTGAACTAGAATAACCTTCATGCAGATGCCCTAAAAAATATAAGGATAACTGATTTCTTTGGTAACACCGTACTAGTCCAAAGAAAAAGCATTGAGCTAGACTACTACTTTGGACTATCCAAAGCCAATTAATTGGAAAGGTCTTATTAGAACTCTAGTCTGACATCACTAATGACCCCTTTTCAGCCTCCTAAGGAATTTACTCATCAGCGAACAACAGCAGTTCTACTTCCTCATCAACTAATGTCATTACTAAAACATGCTACAACAATGAACTCTCAGTTGATCAGCAGGAAATATTCCTGACAATACAAATGAGTTATCTTTAGATCATGAACAATAAATTACCATAATGACTTCTGTTTTGCTAAGTATCTTTCCATTTAACTTAATACGTGGATCATTTCCACGGGTGGACTTATAGTAGGTCAAAACTGGTTCTCAGATTAGGAAACTACTTTTAAAAGGAAGTACTGCTTAAGCTTAAAACTGTAATTTGAAATATGTTCGACACTCAAGAAGTTTCATACAAGGCAAAAACGTTTTATAACGAAAGACTCTTAAGGGAAGAGGGTTAATTTAAAAATTCTTGGAAGGGAGAAAGAGAATAAAAAAAGTGGAAGACTACGTACTCTCTCACCCCTCCCTCTACTAAAACTTACTTGTACCTTCCACGTCCTCCACAAGAGCTTCGTAGACAGTTTTCCTCAGAGTTTGATAACGATCATTTACAGCCCACATACCAATGGAGGCAGCATGCATTAAACAATTCCCATCACCCAGGGTGTTAACAGTCACCATACGACATAATGCACCGCACCAATTCAGCCTTCTCGCCGTCTCCAGTTCCCTTAGAATGTGGCCATCGACGAGAAAGCTGAACACGAACTTGCGAAACTCCTCTTCTAAGTTTTGAAACGATGGTAGAACCAATGAGTAGCTCGTCGAAGAGCCGAGATGGCGGTGCTTGGTGGCCTCTGCCGGTACCACGACATCTTTTCGTACGATCTCTCGCACGTTCAAAGCTAAATCCAAATCATTGAGGGAGATGTTGCGCTCAAACAAATGGCTTGGAGGTTGAAAACTGGCAGCCATGTTACACAGTGATGAATATAAAGGCGCAACTCAAGCCAAGATAGTAATGAATTTTTCTATTTCTTAATCCAACTAATCAGCACATCGAATGAACCATGACAAGAATTACAGCCTTGCGATTCTTTCACGAAGTTGTTTAAATTTGCTGCCTTTTCAAAATGACGGGTGTATATAAAATATCTGAAACAGGAAGTGGATGTGTGTCAGAATTCAGGGAAAAAACAGTCGTTGCAGTCAACTGGACATTGTATCTGTGAGCTACATTCACTTTTTGAAATTCATGGCAAATTATTCGGAAACATCACTTACCTTTTTTACCGAAAATCGTCGCCAAATTACCCCCGATGAATCGAAACACCAACGGCAAACCAAAAGAGTTTTATTGTAAATCGGTCCCGGGACTTTTCCCGCGGGGAAACCCCCGACGCCACCCTGGTGGTCACATGAGAGCAACGGCTGTAAGTGGTTTTCTCTAGGGTAGTATAGATTTAGCACTTTTGGTACTTTATTTTTAAGCCCATTTGAACGGAATATGATGTGTAAAAACAATTTGACTATAGAAACGAAATATTTACTTAATTCACGTTGCATTTTTTACCTTTTTTTATGAAGAAGATCTCATTTAATTACCTCACAATTAAATTTATTTTACTATACCCCTAGTAAGGCTGTAAACAGGAAGTTAGGAATGCGGGCTCACTCGCCAGAAATAAAATGTCGTCATTTTGGTAGGGAGGGATTTTTCCGCTCCTTGTTTATCCATCAAGGGAAGAAAAAAATTTCAGGTTTGTTATTCCAGTCATTATTATGCTATGCATTTATTTGGTTTATTCAATACGTGTATTGGTGAATCGAATACGTCCTTGATATTTTCTTTCTTTTTTGTTTGAGCTCTTTAAAATTCTTGATCACTTAACCGCCATAGCGGGCTTCACTGTCAATTCTCGCAAATTAAATGCAAAGTAAGGTTAAACTTAAATATATTTGTGGTTCAGTCAGAAGTGGACGAGTGGCCTGTATTCTGCAATTTATAATTAGATGAAATTTGTGTCTTGTAGTTGTAGCCAAAATACGTCATGTCTAAGATATTATATACATGCATAAATAATTAAGCTTAAGCTTAATATTTAGCAAGTTCTTGACACTCAAAAAAGTCGTAGCCCAAAGTTAAACTGCAAGCAAATCTGTCCGATCTCGTATTTCAGTATTCAAGTCCCCAAAACGTCCCGGTAAGCTCAAATATACTTAGAAAAGTGTGTCTTGGTGTGTTATAGGTAGAAATGGCATCGTTACCAAGCAACAAAGGCAAAGTGGCAATAATTGGCAGGTACTTTTTAGGCCTCCTGCCTGGGGGAAAACTCCCCTATATAAATATAGGTATAAGTATATGTGCATTGAAAATGGGCAGAGATTTTCCCCGTGGGCTGAAATTCAGGGGCTATCCTGCAAAAATAACCATCTCTCTTAGCTCCTCAGCACCAGGGACATTTGGCCGGGAGGGACATCTGAGCCCCAGCTAGAGAAATTCTATCCTGATGATGTAAAATCTGTCCGGAATCTGGTCAGCAGCTCTGATTGGTCAGCGTACTTAATATTTATACATTGTATTGTTTTAGCTATTGTTTATAAACAACAGACAAAAGACAGACAATCCCAAAGGTCAAATGTAAATGTGATGAATCTACTACAAATTAGTCAATGTTCATGGAATATATTCTGCTTTAGAAGTAGTATAATATGAGTTCTGCTGGCCAAGCTCTTTAGCAGAAGACCACAAAACATAACATCAAACAAATTCATGATTACCGGATTTACATGTAAACATTGATTTATGTCGTCAGTATGGAATTTCTGTCGTTGAGGTGCAGACCTCCCTCCTTCCAAAACATCCTAGCAACAAGGAGCGAGGAGAGAGCTGATTTTGCAGGCTATTCAGAGGCGGATCCAGGATTTTTAAATTTATATTCACCCTGAAAAGGGATTGAAATAGGTACGGTTTGTGAACTTTTCAAAGGGGGTGTTGCAAACCCCTCAATCCTCTTGCTCAATCCATCCCATCCCATCCATGGTTTTTAGAGGGCCCTGAGGCCTGAAAATGAGTGTGGAAAATGGCATGGTTTGGTCTGAAACAGAGTGACTTGGAACCAGAAAGAACACCCCCACCAAGAATCAGTCCAGGAAGAAACCCTCCTCTCAGAGTCTCCTGATCCTCCACATTTGTTTTGAGGAGCTTGAATTAATCAACATTTCAATCTGGTTGGTTGGCAAAGTGAAATGACTTGATTATGATTCCAAAGGGTCAGGAGAAGAGGCTTTATAACATATAACAGAATACTAGATTAATTAAGTCATGTACTAATGTTGCACGTAATTTATGAGTTTAAGCCACCCAAGCTAAAATTTACTCATTTCACACTAGTGGATGGGTGAAAGTTTTTTTTTGCCCTGTTGCAACTGCCATTTGTTATTGGAAAAAATAACACAACCATTAAGTTTGGTGCGAAAATTAACTTTTTCCTGTGTCTGTCAAGTGCAAACTAAACAACAATAATTTATTGTTTTTTTGTTTAGTTTGCTATTGATTGATAGCACCTAATTATAGCGACAGCAAATCATCAGAAAACATCCTACAGTATTCTAGATTAACAGAACAAAAAGAACAACATCAAATTTGTATTTTTATCTTCTTACCTTGCAGTGGATTGATAGGAAGATGTTGGTCTGTGGTAAGAGATTTTGTCCTTGATTTATTTCAAGTTGACCTGCTGTATTTACTTAAAAGCCTCATGGCAACTTAATCATTAGATGGGCTGGGTTCTTATTTAAAGGAGATGTTGAATTTCCATTTAGCTATTTCAAGGGATAGTAACTGCTGGTCTATGTTATCCTTATTTCATTTTCTTAGTTACTTTGTAGTTTTAGTCTAAGAGTAGTTTTTGTGTGCCCCCTTAAAGACAAACAAATAATTTATAACAATATCTTTCAGTAACAACTATAAAAATCATTTTTACTGATCTTTGACATTGTCAATTTCAAAGTAAAATATAAATAGTAACTGGTGCATTTGCTAGTACTGCATTGTATATATGTTGTTCTAGTTCATTTTTTATCTCAGGTAATTTTTATTTTTCCTTTGTTTCAACTTAGTTAGCATACATTACCATACCCAGAAACAAAAGGAAAATAAAAATCACTGGAGATAAAAAGTGAACTAGAACATTTATTTGTAAAGAATTTAACCATAACAGTGAAGTTCATAATGCTCCAGTATCAGTGCTGTCAACTCTCCCAGGAAGTCCGGGAGACTCCAGATTTTGGACTTATCTCCCAGTTTCCAGATAAATTTAGAGTCTGAAATCTCCCAGATTATCACTGAAGTGCCATTTTCTTGTAGAGTCGACTTTTCGACAATGAAATTTCAAATACTTTGCATTGTTTGAGCTATTTTGCTGTTAACATTGCACGTTTTCTCATAAACTTGAGTATGCCATATTGTAATATAAGCAATGATGTGAGTGGTGGGAAGTAAAGCAATCAGGTCAGATGTTACATTGCCAACTACATCTTTTTCTGGCATCTTCTGTCATCACAAATTCGTGGTGATGGGAGTCAACAAGTATTTTTTGCACAAAAGACATCATGAGCCGTGCATTATGACGTCATCTTTCATCCCTTCCCAATCAGTTCTTAAGTATTTGAAAACCCGGGGGGGCTGACCACGTACGAAAGGAGCAGTGCTGCAGAATGACTTCAAGAAGCGCTACAAAAGAGCTGTATAAGGGCTGGCTGCAGCAGTAGCAAATTTTGGCTGTTTCGCGCTGCAGTGGAAAGCCCTTTGACAGCGATAAACAGCGCTTTTGCAGCGGTGCAGAAAATTCCGGAATCACGATCTGCGCTGCAAAGTGGCTGCAAAGTGGCTTCGAAAAGACAAAGAACATTGTTACCCGTAATGGCCTACCACTCGTTAGTACAAAAAAAAGAAATGCAGACTTCAATAATACAATAATCATGATACATGGTAGAGGAGTTGACGAGGCCTTACTAGCAGAGTAAAAACCACTAGAAAGTCAAAATGCAACTGATACTTTTAATTATTAGTATCCAGGCGTACACGTTACAAAAGTACATGACATAACAAATCTGCAACAGTCTCGCTTTGTAAATATTCAGGAATCACGGTCACTCATCTAAATGTAAGAACATCCATTAACATGCAGACATTGAAATTGATCTTTTTTAAAAATAAAGAGAATAACAGCGATTGTTCTAGATAAAGTTTACACGGACAGCAGCCAAGTTATTATTTTGATTCGTTGCAACGGGTTAAGCCTGACATCGCTCACCTTGACGTTTTGTCCATGATCCACGATCTGCTACACTTTTTTCATGAAAGAAATCAACCCAATTTTACTTTGGTCGTCGTTAAATTTTACAATGGACTAAGGAACATACATGAACGTTTTTAAGTGTAAGTTCATGGGAACTCCAGCTGAGATTCTTGTATCTGTGCTGATTGCTCTGGTTTGATTCGTTGGTACTTAGCGTAGAAGTCACTGTACAGTGCATTGTTTACAAATACCTTTGAGCTGTTCCATCCAAAAACATCAACAGAACTTCCATCTCGAAACAGAACTAGATGCAATAAACTTATGAATGTTTGCGCCTTTCATTCAACGGTCGCAAATGTTTTTCTCTGAGGTGTGCATGTAATTGGATCTCATGCAAAAGTACCGACCAATTAGATTACGACTTAGAATGTCTCCAGGGAATTAGCGATAACATTCCCACACTCGCAAGTCAGTGCGGAATGAAATTTATTGAAATCTTTTTTCAGAAAGCATAGAATAGGTGGTTTTCACGTTATGTCATCACCGCCATGCTGGTGGATGGTAACCAAAGATTGCTCATTAGCTCGCTTTGTTTGTCCACCGGCATTTGTTCATTTTACCATTGTTACTTGTGTCTCCCGAGATTGCATGAAAACCACCTATTAGGAGGTTTATTCAATAAGTAATCTTCCCTCACTCAACAGCCCACAAGCTCGCTCACATTTCTTAGACGTACAGTCAAAGTTTTCTCGTTATAAAAGCCGTAATCTGTGGCAAGGCTTTTCTGGCGATTCATGTTACGGACGCTCAAGAACGTTGCGCTATCAGATCGACCGAAGCTGAATTGCAGCGTTACTGCAGCTACTTCGCAGCATTTTAAAGTCGGCAACTGCGCTGCAAAACTGCTGCCGAGAGCTTCAAAGGCTGCACAGCACTTTTGCATCCCGCTGCAACTTGAATTAAGCTGCTGTTTGGCTTCTAAAATGCTGCTAAACAGCTGTAATTTAGCTGTACGGCTATTTTGAAGCGATTTTGTGGCGCTGTACAGCGCTGCAAGTTTTGTACGGAACAGCCCTGCAGTATATCCTTAGCAACCATGGTGCCACATATATTTGTTAAGTGGGTGCAGCACATTTGTGGGTGGAGTTGATTTTAACATTTTTATTTTAATTATGCCCCAGTGCCGTGTCTAAAGTACACGTCACATTCCACAGGTCAATATTACAGGTCACTGCTCCATCAATAAATTATGAAACCACACAGATTCAATCCCCTCAATCTAATAGAGCATTTTATTAAGAGGTTAGGGCTTGGAGGCACTTTTAATGCTATTCATTTATCTGTATCATGGTGACCTGTACTCTAGCGGACCTGTGGAAAAGTGACCTGTATTTTAGACCTACCATTTGTGAAGCAGAAGTTGCACTGACTCCCAGGGGGGTACTCCCATACATTACCTATACGGGTATGTGCCGCCCAAAGGGGTCGTGATTTTGAAGCTCCTGATTTAGAACGGGGTATCCATTTCAGAGGCGTTTTCTAGAACGGGGTATAATATTTCAAACGCACAAAAGCTCCAGTTTTGTAAGCAGCCATTTGAAATTATTCAAGGACAGATTGCTTTTAAAGATACGGTTCAATGCGTTAACAAGCAAACTGTTGTGCTCTTTGCACCTTAGAACGGAGTATAAAAAATTGGCCCATTTCTAGAACGGGTATCGACCAATTTTTAGGGCGAATTCTAGAACGGGGTATCAATTTTAGGGGAAATTTTTTTAGAACGGGGTGCCAATTTGGAGTCCAGGGCGGCACATACCCACCCAAAAAATACCCAAGTGCCCCCGGGCACTGACTTCACCCATCAATAACATTAACTTTGCAAACCCTGGTGAACAAGTCCATAATTTCAGAATTTATTTTTCAGCTATTTTCCAGTGCTGGTTACAATGTTGCTCTCTATGATACTGTTGCCAGTCAACTGAGCACAGCGCTAACTAGCATTGAGGCTCAGCTGTGCGACATGGAAAGTAAAGGACTGATGCGTGTTGATGGCATGACGGCTCAGAAGGCTTTACAGCTAGTGTCAAGCTTTGATGATCTTCAAAAGGCAGTGGATAGTGCTCTATATGTGCAGGTTGGTAAATCAACATGCAGATTGTCCAGACTTCATTTTGGTATTTATGAGAAGAATTTTTCTCACAACTTGATAATAATTTATGGATAACATTGTACCTCATTAGTAAAGCCCAAGGTGGTTGATAAATTAACCACTAGATATTTCTTCTTTTAAATCTTCCTGATGAATGCATGTGCTAGTTATTGTAGTCACTGTAAATCATTTTCTCCTAACAATAATCAATACATAATTGAGAGAAAAGACTGTGAGAAATTATAAAATAATCATCAAAGGAAAATACCTTTTTCTTTCATTACTCTCTCACAACTATAAAGTTCCTTGAGAAAATTTATGGAGGTCGAATGTGGAAGCATCATATGGCTTTAATTTTATAAGAGGGATGGAAAAGACCTCACTTCTGGTTGGTGTCTGTCACTCAAAGACACCTCTGCTTTAAAAGCTCCGTAATGTCTTGACAAATGCCTAAAAGAGAGAATATATTGAGTGGGTCATATTCTAGCAAAGGTTCATGTTTTAGGAATGCACTCCAGAAAATGTGGACTTGAAGAAAAAGGTGTTTGCCAGTCTGGACAGTTTTGTCACATCTGATAAAACAATTTTGGCCAGTTCCACCTCCTGTCTTGTTCCATCAAAGTTTACTGAATCTTTGACTCATCGAAAGCAGTGTATTGTGGCTCACCCGGTAAGTATTATGATGTCTGTTTATCATTGATTTTGTTTATCTGTTTAATTACAGTTTCATTACCAACAAAATTGGATGATAAGTTTATTAACTGTACACTGTTCACAGTCTCCTATTTTGCTGTAAGATAGTCAAGATCAAGCAATTTGCGTTACTGGTAGCTATCTTGGTGACAAAAAAAATATAGGGGACTGTGAACAGTCCATATTAACAGTTTCTTAACCATAAGACGTGTTAGGCCATCAAATTTTTCTTGATGATATTTTACTACAACTACCAAAATTCATTTTGTTTTTGCAATGTTATTTAAACTTGTCACTCTTGAGATTTTATAAGCAAAAGCCCTAATGAGAGAAAACATTCAAGAGCAAATAATATCCTATTACAGCATGCCTAATTACCCGTTCTGTCCAATTACCTACAGTGTAGGCATCATGCATATTAGTATAGGTAATAGCATGATTTGTAGTGATATTTGGCAGACCATGAGTGATATTTCAAAACTGTTGTACGTAATTTGACAAGCCGTTAGGCGAGTGAAATTTGAGACAATTTTTAAATATCACTAGTGGTAATTATGCCAAATATCACGTACAAATCATGCTATTATTTGTTTATACTACTACCCGCAAAAAATGTCCTGGGGGAGCATACCCCTGTGGGCCCCCTAGAAGCTCTGCACCTTCGGCTCTCGTTTAGGAAATTGGTCAGTATTTATCCTAGATCCGCGCGTCTCTATACATGTACCTGACCTTAGAAGTGAAGCCTGGGGAAAGATTATATTCAGCACTTATGATTTAATCTTTCTGACTTATCCACCATTAATTAACTTTTTAACTGGGCTGCCTGTAAGGCAAATCCAGTTCATAAAATGGGATTTTCCCGTCAAGTAATGAACACTATCAATATTGTCAACTTAGTATCTTTCTGGTAAATTAAGTCTTGTATGAGTACGTGCTATCCAGCCCTCCAAATTAAGACGTAATGGATATATACTCTGACATTTACTTTCGCAGTATGACCCCCAGAAAAATCCTAACTAGGGGGTTACCTTTTGAGGTTTTTCTTCACATTTGTTGAAGTTTAAACCTTTTGATGAGTTTTTTCCCTTCCAAAACGTTACTGCAAATCTCTCTCTGTGTGTACATCCATTGAATAAAGACGTCTCTCAAGCTATCATTGGCACTATTTTTCAGTCTCTTCTTCAAAAGATGGTAGGGTGGGTCGCTTTCGTGGTTTCTCTTCACGTTATGTTGAAGTTTAAACCGTTGCCAATTGTTGTTTGTTTTACACTGTGCGACTTCCATCTACAAGTAAGCCTCTTCTCCTTCCTAAGTAGGTTTTTTTTTTCTAGATAAATCCTCCATATTATGTGCCACTGGTTGAAATTGTGCCCGCACCTTGGACAGATAGCGATGTAGTAGATCGTACAGTGGCATTAATGAAGGAAATTGGACAGGCACCTGTTGTGACAAAGAAAGAAGTGAATGGATTCATCTTCAACCGCTTACAATATGCTATTATCATGGAGGCCTGGAGACTAGTGGAGGTGAGAGAAGTTGGGCTATAACTGGATACTATTGAAATGTATATTCAAGTTAATGTCACTTAGGCTGCATTGAAGACTGTGTAAATAGGGAAATGTCAGCAAGATGTAGTGTCATTGAAACTTAAATGCAAAGGGTATGACTCCTACATGAAGGGAACTGGGATGCTTCCCGGAAAATAGTAGTTTTGACGGAGGCCAATTAGCGAATGCCGGGATTAACTATATTACAATTACCGCTTTGGTCCAGTTTATGGCCAGTGTGTCTACGTGAATGCCATATAAAACCGTTTATTATATTTCCTTAAATAAGCGTCCATGCCCTAATGACCGCCCTCCCGGAATAAGCGCCCACTCCGTGCCGCCCGTCTCGAATAGCCGCCCCCTCCCCCTTCGTCTCAGTTTGTTAAATAGTAGGGATACAAGAGGAATGCAAACTTCATATCATTGACGAGGATGATCTCCAGGCAGCCTCGTCCCCAGTGCTTTTCCTTTAGGAAATGGGACGAGGCTGTATCTCGGGGATGATGATATGGTCGACATTTTGTAATCATGCATATCGATATCGATACATCTGTGTTAAGTATTTAATGGGACTATGGTGCGCTTGATTACAACCACTGTTTTAACAAACGAAAGACTATTAGTATTAACTTTGCGTTACAAAGTTGGTCTTCGTTGGGAGGAAAATTCAGTAATAAGCGCCCCCTTCTATTAAGCTCCCTCCTTCAATTAAACGCCCCTCTTTTGAGCTGTAATTTTAATTAAGCGCCCAGATGCTTATTCGAAGAAATTTGGTTCCTGTAAGATACAATACTCGTTGTAGGATGGTGTCTGTTCTCCGGAAGATGTGGAAACAACAATTACAGAGGGTCTTGGTCTGCGTTACTCTCTTATTGGTCCATTTGAAACTATGCAGCTAAATGCCAATGGTATGTTACTTGTACCGTCGTCAAATCCTTTCCGGTTTAGTTTTAGTTTTAATTAACGGCAGGGTTCTATCTAGGATTTATCGTTTGGAGAAGTCCCGAATGGCCGAAGGCGACGAGCTTCCTTGGGGGGGTCCGGGGGCATATCCCCCCGCACATTCTGCGAAATGAATATGCCCTGAGGTGCAATCTGGTGCATTTTGAGACACACCGTGCACTGACCTTGTCGCGTCTGGATGATTTTTCTGATATAGTCACTTATATACTGTAATGAGAACAATATTTTTTTGGGGGGGGGGGAGAGAAGCAGGGCATTTTTGGGGGGGGGGAGCTTCTACCCCTAAAATACCCTAGACAGAACCCTGAACGGCCCATAGGTCATTTAATATGTTACTGGATTACACCTGGTATAGACGCTGGTAAAAGAACTGCTGACTGGTCTTTGAATGGTCTCTTTATCAACAGATTTCATCCAGAGTATCAAACTAAGAAAGTAACAAAGTAACAAACAACGATCCTTAATACTAAATCAGGAGCTAAAGCATGTTAAGCTGTGTTTTGAGACCTGAAATGGACTAAATGCTAAAAATTCAATACCCACCCCATACAGAGTACTCCATAATTCCCTTATCCCAGATTAACTATTACATTGGTTAGAAACATTATCCCCATTGTTTCTCACGTCGCGATCCTGTGGAGCGATCTGCAACTCTCACAGGTAATCAACAAAGTTTTATACGGGGAGGCACCGCCCTGAGGTCCAACCTCCTACCCCTTTATATACCATTTTTAGCTGAAAAGGTAAGGTACCCCTTTCGTAGACCTTGTATTGACAACTGGTACCCCTTTCAAATACCTAGCTCAGAACTTTGCATCCCTTTTAACTCCTGTAAATGTACTTTCTTTCAAATATGAAACCAGCACGTTTTCTCGACTATTTTACTGTCATACAATGAGTCTGTTAGGCCTTTTGATCCTTTTTACAGACCGAAATAACAGATTTCCCTACCCTTTTATATACTTCAACAAGTAAAATCGCTACCCTGTCATATACCTGAAACCTAAAGAAAAAGGTATCCCTTTCGGGCAGAGCCTCCCCGTATAGGCCATCATAGGGGGTGCCCCCCTCCCGGGCCTGCAACGGGCTGGTTAGACTTCAAAGTCCTTCGCTGCTTCTTTCCGGTTCTGCTCTCTCGCTCGCTTTGCTGCCGAAAACCTTAGAATTCTCCTGCTCGAGCTTCGCGCTCGAGAAAAATTTTGAGCTCGACCTGTGGGCAAGTCTACTTGCTGGTTAGTTCTTGATGCTTCTGTGTACTGTCGTTACCCCAATAGTTAATATATCATTATGACTGTATCATTATGAGGTCACTTTCTTCATTTATCTTGAAGGCATCAGAGATTACTGTGAACGATATGGAGCAAACATCAAGCATGTTTGTGAGGAGCAAGGCGGGCCTCGTTCACTGAGCGGCGAGACACTTGACAAGCTGGAGAAAGAATTAAACCAGACCATGCCTTTAGAGCAACTGAACGAAAGAAGGAGCTTGCGAGACAAAAGGCTGGCTGCACTGGCGATTCACAGACAGCACGAGGATAAGGAAAATGAATCGTAATTCCAACCTATGCCAATTTGAATTTTCCAAGGTAAAAAATGCAGAGTGGTATCTGGTCACTTATGTCCTTTTAGCCTTAAATTGAATTCCAAGAAACCTACCAAATCCCCGTGGGGGTACTGCCATATATGGGCTATATAGGTATGTGCCGCTGTGAAGGGTATGGTTTTCAAGCAGTTTACTCTAGGATAGGGTATACAAAATAAAAGCGTTTGGCTCTAGAATAGGGTATCATTTTTCAGGAAACTGATCAGTTAGTTGAAGATTTTATCTAGACTAGGTACACAGCTACTCTAGGATAGGGGGATTTGGGGAGTTTACTCTAGTATAGGGTAGCAAAATTCAGCTGAACCAGCTCTGGTAAAGGTTAAGGGTTCCAGGCTCCCAGCGGCACATCCCCATCCAGAAATTCCTAAAGTACCCCCCCCCCCGGACCAAATCCCTATAATTACGTATACATGAAAAGATCGACGTGTGAATCAGCTTAAGCTACGTGCAAACCGTGTTGGCAGTGGTGTGCAAACGGATGCAACGTTTCCCAACAATGTTCGGACCTGCAGTGCATCATGAGAAGGATGCAACCCATAAGACTTTGTAAACTCCAAGGAGACCATGGGTGCAATCCATTCGACCAAAATTTCCGGAAATTTCGGTCTAAAACTCAGTGGATCGGTTCGGTCCAACCGGAAAAGTTTCGAAAAAACTGGTCCACCTTTTGAGGGGACCACTTTTCCCGGTCGGACCGGTCGGAATTTTGATTGAATTAAAATGCGCGTGCGTTACCGCAGTCATTAATGTTGGAAGAGCTGTGCTAATGGATCCAACATTGCTGCGCTAGCTTCGGCGATCACGGAACCAAAAAAAAGTTGAGAGTTGGTGACTCAATTTCAGACTGTGCGCAACAACTTCCGACAACACCCAACAACATGCAACAGGGTGTGCAAACGGACGCAACATGTAACATCCAACAATTTTGGGAGTTGTTGACCAACAATGTTGCGTCCGTTTTCACGGGGCTTAAGTCTGACATATCTAATTTGGGTCGACCCATGAATTAAGTTCGTTGATCGGTTTCGATCCGTCTTCTCTCATAGTAATAACGGTGGTTGGGTTGTTTTATTTAGTCAAATCGTCAGTTTGTTCAGTCATTCTATAATTGCCTAGTTGCCTTTTGTTTTAATCTCCTATTTTTTTTCTTTCGCAGGGACTACATGATTGTTTTACGAGGCGGACAAACAATCACCGACATAAAAATAAAACAGATGCTTAATTCAAATCTACTGTAAACTGCCGCTAATAAGCCCAGGGGTTATACATCTTTGTAAGGGGTTTAAGGAGAGCCTATAAACGGAGGGGCTTATATGCGTAAGGGCTGATAACCGAAATAGAAAAAGTGCTGCGAAACATGCTAAAGCAGTGCTGATAAAAATACGAATAACATTTACTGGTTTAAATTAAGCTTTTTAATTAGGCCGCGAAAAAGGTAGATGACGGACTCGAAAGGACTCAGATTACACCTTCTCAGGCTATCAGGCTTGCTCAAAATAGAGAGTAGGAGTTTATTTCCATTGTCGCGTGTTTTTTCCGTGCGGTATTGTATGAAAGGCCACGCGTACACTTTGATGTTGAGCGAGGTTCAACTTTTACGTGTACGCGTGACCTTCCATACATTCCCTCCATTTTATTTACGCTCGCACGCAGAAATTACGCGACAGTGGAAACCCACCGTTAGGGATGAGACAGCGTCAGTGAGAGTCTATGGATCCTGAGAGATCTTTGCTGTAAACGAAGAAGAATTCAGCTTGAAAACGTCATAATTCATTTGAATTCGTTTGGAGGGAGGCTTATTTTCGGATTTTTTTTTGCAGGTTAATGGGCTTATGGCAGGCGAAGCGTATAAGTGGGGAGTGGGGGGTGGGGGGCTTATAATCGGATTTGTTTGCAGGTTAATGGGCCTATAGCAGGGGCAGCGTATAAAAAGGGGGCTGGGAAGGGGTCTTATAAGAGGCAGTTTACAGTATTGGGATAGTTTCCAACAGTTAATTAAGATGATTGTTATACATAGAATGATAATATTTTTGGGTAACAAATAATTTTAAGTCTTGTTGACAGACGTAAGCCTTCAATAATAAGACCACTTCGCAGGCTATATTTTCGACTAGGTGTGGAATCGATTAAATTGTAAGAGGCACCTCATTTTAGGAAATTTTTGTGAATTTGAGCGTGACATCTTTGAAAGTACTGGTGGTTTATAGTTTACAGTTTAATAATGATAATGTTCATAATAACTATTTTACTAATATGAAACAATGATTACATGAGTGGATTCTTTGCAGAATATCTACTGATGCCTCTTTGAACAAGACTCATGCACGACATTATAACAAATCGAGACTAAGTGTATTAGGGTAGAATATTTCAGATATTAGCTTCAACTAAAAGATATTTTTCAACTAATATATGAGCATCATACAGAGAAAGTGACTTTAGATAACAGACGCCTCGCCTCTTTTTTCTCCGTAAAGGATTTATCTTGCCATGATTTCATAAAAACTGGACCGTGCCGGGGACGGTTGGAAGAGCAAAAAGCGGACGCTTTGTTTTTGCTCGCTCCAGCGTTTGTGGGCACAAAAAGATTTCTGGAGAGGAGAGAGGTACAGTCGAGTGTTTTAAACAGATTTAGAAGCATCCGGGAATGGAATAAAAATACTTCTTCTACTTTTTGATAATCAATATTAAACTTTTGACTAAATTCAGTAGAAGTCAAAGCTTTTAGAATGTCATGGTTATTTCCCCGTTTTTCGATGTTATCTATACGTTTGGCTGATAAGCCTGGGAACACTGACAATTTACGGGTGGCTCGCATCTCTTAGTCTCCTTGGCAACCGCTCGTCCCCAGGGCTTCTTAGGGAAACGTCCTGGGGACGAGGTTGGATAACGCAGCTGCTCAGTGGGTCATTTCCGAGTTGCAAAAACTCTCACTTTCAAAACGAGGCTAAGTGCGAAACCTTTGTTAGGAAAATGAGTTTTATCAGGAATGTTACTAAAACGGGGAGTGGGGAACTGGAAAATGAAAAATGGGAACAAAACCTAACTTGAAACCTGGCCCTATCAGTAACTTCATTTCCAATTCTTTATTTTGTTCCTATTTTTCATTCTCCAGGTTCACCGTCCTCTCATTTTTGTCTCGTCGTGAGAGACCTCTTTTACCAGGGAACAAGCTCTCCTTTCTCCTACCCCGCCCCCGCTTTCGCGTGCCTCTCGCGCGTCTACTTTTCACGATACCGTAAAATTCCGAAAATAAGCCCCGGGTTTTACATTTTTCAAAGGCCCTTTTTGAGGGGCTTATTTTTGGAGGGCTTATCTACGGAGGGAATATTTACGTTCCAAAATCGATTGGGCTAGCCGTATAAGAAAGTGTGCTGCACGAGCAAAGTTGCTGTTTTGCCAATTAGACCTATTTTTTGTTTTTTCACCGTTTTCGTTGCCTTCGCCGCTTAGCATTACACGATTTTACATTTTGTTCGAGCAAACTATAAATATAATCGGCAGCTTCGCTTTTAGCCCAGGCTAAATCTACATATTAGACTACGAGTAGTCCCCCAATATTCCTCAAGGATAGTAGAGCGACGCCTTTTCTCGCGTGGGGTGGTTTTCACGCGCACTCGAGTTTCGCTCGTTCAACTATCCCTGAGGAAAAATGGGGGACTACTCGTAGTCTAGAAAATTAATGCGAGGCTGACAATAATCTTCAATTTAATATAAACTCATGAGAGGAGGATTATTTGCGCCCTTTACAGTCTTAAAATAAGGATGTGGTTCCCTTAGGCCCGGCCCGTCGAGAATACCGTCATTCTAAAATAAGAAAAGAAATAATTACGGCTCTGTGAGTCATGAGTGTGTGCAGGAGCCCATCAAATTGATGGGCTCCTGGTGTGTGACTTAACATTCGCTGTCAGGCGCAACGGCAACGAGATTCTGGTCTTTCGAAAGCCTCCCACGCACACGTTCTTAGGGGTCCGTCACGCGTTCCTGCCTCATTAGTGGGGCAGGAACGCGTGACGAAGCTCGAAGAACGTCTGCGTGGTAGGCTAGTCTTTCAACAGCTGAAGTTAGTGCGACACAAAATGGCAAGACTTGTAATCGTAGATTTTATCGCATTTTACTGCATATGGTGTGTCATATTTAAAGGTAAGAATGAATAATAATCAAGGGTTAGTTTAGTTAAAAGGAGTCCTAGAGAACTGTATCGGTTCCATTTGTGGCCAGCTCAAATTTGTTGTTGTAGGGCAAGCTGAACACACCACGACTTTACAAAGAAAATTGAAACAAATACTACATCTCAATGATTTGTTGAATACCGTTATATCGCGATTCAGCATTTATAATTCATACTGCAGTACTGTCGACACCAATTTGAAACCTTTATTCGTGAATTTATAGAACCCAAGACATGACTGTAAACTAGGCCTTCTTGCGGAAGTTATTATAACAGATGCATTGCCGTGAACGATTTATGTTTGAAAACTTGTGAAATTGCTAAAAGTGATCTTTATTTAAGACTGATTGCGTTTCAAATGCGAAATTTGTTATTAGCGCATATTGTAACTGTTGTAATTTGGTATTAAATATCTTACTTGATCCGTGGGCGGAAGTGCCCTCCTCAACGA